CTATTCTTTTTTTTTTTTTTTTGAGTTGGAGTCTCACTCTGTCGCCCAGGCTGAAGTGCAGTGACACGCTCACGGCTGCTGCATCCTCGACCTGCTGGGCTCAGACTATCCTTCCACTTCAGCCTTTCAAGTAGTTGGAACTACAGGCATGCGCCACCACACCTGGCTAATTTTTTTTTATTTATTGTAGAGATGAGCTCTCACCATGTTGCCCAGGCTGGTCTCAAACCCATGGGCTCAGGCAATCCTCTGGCCTCTGCTTCCCAAAGTGCTGGGATTACAGGAGTGAGCCACCGTGCCCAGCTCAATTTCGTATTCTTATAAGGACACCATTCATGTTGGATTAGGGTCAATTCATGTGACCTCATTTCACCCTCATTACCTCTTTAAAGGTCCTGTCTCCAAATACGGTCACATTCTGGGGTACGGGGGTTAGTTAGAACTTCAAGGTATGAATTTTGAGGGACACAATTCAGCCCATAACAGTGGAAAACACCTTAGAATCCCCAAGAGATGACACATTCCAATACTTCAACATCCTACACTAGTGACTTCAGAATCTCTGTGTATAGGATGTAGGACTTTGAACTTATGGCGCCTCAGGTGTCTCCCAGGTGTAGCCAAGACTGATCAGCCCTGGAACAGCCTTTCTTTTGCTCATAGCACCAGAGTGCCTCTTCTTTGACCCACATTCTCCATCGTGGGTCTTCATGAGTTTTTCCATCACGATCCGTCTGAAGTGGCCAGGAAGGGAACATTTGCTGACAAAGACAAGAAGGAGAGATGGCCAACGTCGAGCATTTGTCTTTCCTCTCCTGCTGATTGATCACTTTATACAATAATAAAACTTTTAAAAGGTTGAACCTGAACTGAGGCTGTGACTGTGACACAATTAATCAAACTCTTGAAGAATCATGTTACATTATGTGCTTCAAGCATTGATCCACTTCACTAAAAGTTGGCCTGAAGTACAGCCTAGACACAGGATATTGGATCCATAAGAAATGGCCAGGATGCTGTCGATTGCTTTGTGTCTCTGTGTGATATGTGGTCCTGCATCAGACCAGACCATAAAGCAGGACAAATTCCAACACATCAAGAGCATGTCAACCAGTCCCCAGCTTGTCCCAAATTGCTAGGAGAGGAAGGACAGAGAAGAAAGCTGATTATGGTGTGTTCTTCAAACCTGCTATCACTGAACTTAGATTATAATCCATTCATTCACAAGGCTGCCAATCTCCTTACATGTTCTTGAATTGATTACAGACAATACCAGGATCCCAGGTATCTCTAAATCAAAATTTTCATTAATTTTTAAAGTCAAATTTTTTACTTTTTTTTTTTTTTTAAGAGATGAAGTCTCACTATATTGCCCAGGCTGGTCTCAAACTTCTGGCCACCCAAACAAGGACTACAGCCACACCTGGCTAATTTTTTGATTTTGTTGTTGTTGTTGCCCAGGCTGGTCTCAATAGCCTGGGTTCAAGCAATCCAGCCACTTGGCCTTCCAATGTGCTGGAATTACAACCCTGGGCCACCACATCCAGTCCCAAATCAAAGTTTTATAGGACCAATAAATTCACAGGTACACATCAAGCCAATAATGATAGTTAGCATCTCTAAGCAATGCTTTCTAGTAAACCAAACACGTAAACATCCCCAGACTTATTTGAGCCTCACAACAGCCCCATGAGGTAGGTGAGCCAAGATTTATGATCCTCATTTTACAGAAAAGGAAATTTGCTGGGAAAGTGATGTGAGTTGCCAAGGTCATAGATCTTGTGGTAGAACCAGAATACAGTACCTAGTTTTAGGACTCAGATCCTGTGGCTCTTGGCAACTCCCTGCTCCAAGCAACATGAGAGACTACAAAGGAAATCAGATCTTGAACTGGCACTAGACAAAAATCACATTATGGGCAAAGTTTCTCTGATACCTTCCCTTCCTCTCCACTTATCCTTCCCACCCTGTTCCTTCTCACTGAATAGTCTATACTGTGACTAGCATAGCATTGGAGTCCGGAAATATCTCCCTGTGCTCCCTTCTTGAAACTATTCTATATAGTCTGGGCATGGTGGCTCATGCCTATAATCTCAGCAGTTTGGGAGGCAGGGGCAAGAGGAGTGCCTGAGCCCACAGGTTCAAGACCAGTCTGGGCAACTTGGCAAGACCTCATCTCTACAATAAATCAAAAAATTTAGCCAGGTGTGGTGGTACACCCCTGTAGTTCCAGCAACTTGGAAGACTGAGGTAGAAGGATCGCCTGAGCCCAACAGGTCGAGGCTGCGGTGGCCGTGAGCATGCCACTGCACTCCAGCCTGGGCAACAGAGTGAGACCCTGCTCAAAAAAAAAAAAAAAAAAAGGTGCTGAATCTATCATAGTCAAACATCGGGTGTTACAGCCTGATGAGCACAGACAATACGAAGAAGGGCTTTCTAAGGTGCCACTGCAATTATACCATGAATACATTTTTCAAATTGAGGGAAGGAATCACAAGAAGATGTTGACAGTAATCATTTTGGTAGAGAAAGACCAGGCTAGGGTGAGAACAGCAGGTTTTTTCATGTTCACTTTGTACTTTTCTGTATTTGAATTTTCAAACCCAGTCTCACAAATTGGTTTTGTTTTATACCAACGGGATTGATCTGAACTATAAACCTATTGTTTTGTTTTGTTATTTTTTTCCTTATATACGTCACTTTAAAAAAAAATCAATGACCAGCTGGGCATGGTGGCTCATGCCTGTAGTGCTGGGGCAGGAGGATCACTTGAGCCTAGGGATTCAAGACCACTGTAGGCAACATAGCAAGACCTCCTTGCCACAAAAAAATTTTTTTTTAAATTAGCCAGGCATAGTGGCACGCAGGTCAAGGCTTTGGTGGACTGTGATCTTGTCACTGCACTCCTGCCTGCTGACAGAATGAGACCAAGACTTAAAAAAAAAAAAATTAATGACCAACCTGGACAGCATAGTGAGACCTCACGTCTACAAAAACTCAAAAAATGGGCCAGGCACAGTGGCTCATGCCTATAATCCCAACACTTTTTTTTAGGCCGAGGTGAGAGGATTTCCTGAGCCCTCACATTCGAAACCAACCTGGGCAACTTGGCAAGACCTCATCTATACAATAAATAAAAAATTAGTTGGGCCTGGTGGTGAGTGCCTGTAGTTCCAGCTACTTGGAAGACTGAGGTAGAAGGATCACCTGAGCCCAGCAGGTCAAGGTTGTGGTGGCCGTGAATGTGCCACTGCACTCCATCCTGGGCGACAGAGTGAGACTCCAAATAAAAATTAAAAAAATCAAAAAATGAGATGAGTGTGGTAGCATATGCCTATAGTTCCAGCTTCTTGGCAAGCTGAGGCAGAAGGATTGCCTGAGCCCAGTAGATAGAGGCTGCATTCTCTGTGAGCATGCGGTTTCTGTGAGCATGCCACCACATTCCAGACTGAGTGACAGAGTGAGACTCCAACTAAAAAAAAAAAAAAACATTAGTCAGCCGCGGTGGCACACACCTGTAATCCCAGCTTCTCAGGAGGCTGTTGCAGGAGGATCCCCTGAACCCAGGAGGTCAAGACTGCAGTGAGTCATGATTGTGCCACTGCACTCCAGCCAGCGCAACACAGTAAGACCCCAACTCAAAAAAAAAAAAAAATGAATGAATGTCATGTTTAAAAATGATTCTGCAAAACCAACCACTGGCTCCAGGTCAGCGTCACCCTCCTTGCCCTCAGCTTGCTTACCATCTCAACACAGAGCTAGACATTGAGGACCTTGCAGGGAAGAGTTTATGGAGCCAAGGATCTGATATTGTTTGCAAAGACCAAAAGGATGAAAGAATTAGAGTGCACAGTAAGATGGGATATAATTAAGTACCCAGGAACGCAGAGCTATCTCTCGAGACAACAGGAGTGCAGCTCTCTTCCCAAACATGGTATTTTCCCTGATGTTTTTTTTTTTTTCCTCCACCAAAAATTTTCCACTTTAATTATGCGGGTTAGGTTAGAGGTGCTCACCTTCAGAACTTTACATGCGCAAACAGCTAATCCCTTCCGTAAGACACATTTCTGGGAATGCCCAAAGATAAATGTTTACAGTCTGTGCTGGGATCATAGAATCCAGCAAAATTTGAAATGATGTAAGCATCATGTATCTATGCCCTGAGAAACAGTTTCAGGAGCACTGTAGCCCCCATGTTCTGGAATTCTGTCCTTCATTCTCACAAAGAGGAGACTCACTGGCAGTGCTCCTAGGTTAGATGTTTTTCCCCTTTTCGTGGTTTTGCCTTAAACATGAGGAGGGTGGTAATTAAAACCATACTTAAAATATTAAATCTACTACCTAAAGGAATGAAGTTGATTAAAGTTGCTAAGCATTAAGTACAGAAACAAAACAGCCTGAGCACGTTCCCTTCAGTATATGCCCAAAATATCAGCTACAAGGAGCCTGGCAGTAGAGGTTAGTGAGTGGGCACACATGCACACACATACATGCACACACATACATCAATACATTGATATATTAATACACAGAATGCATTTCTCAAGTAACTAGCAACTGGGACTGGGCACAGTGGCTCATACCTATTATCTCCCAGCACTCTGGGAGGCTGAAGCAGGAGGATCACTTGAGCCCAGGAGTTCAAGACCAGTCTGGGCAACATAATGAGATTCATCTCTACAAAAAATAGAAAAATAAATTAGCTGCCCTCAGTGGCTTGTAGTCCCAGCTACTCGGGAGGCTGAGGTGGCAGGATCACTTGAGCCCAGGAGGTCAAGGCTGCAATGACCTGTGATCATGCCCTTGTACTCCAGCCTGGGCAACAGAGCAAGACCCTGCCTCTAAAAAAATTAAATAAATGAAAATTTTTTCATGTAGCTAGCATTTGACAAGGAGAACGCAAAGATGACCCCCTAATTAATTACTCAACAAAATTAGTTATTCAGCAAAATTGTGAAGTAATCTCAAAAAACCCCAGAGAAAATAGGGACTGACAGTAGATGTCACTTAAACTCTTTGAGGCTCAGTTTCCTCGCCAGTCATCCACTTTGGAAGAGCGTAGGGAAGGTTTAAGGAGCAATGCCTTGCACCATATAAGTATGTCAGGCCCTTTCTCTGGGGAGGAGGATCTCCTAGGGCGTCATCAGCTGATACAAGGTGAGCATGCTTGCTCCTCCCCAGGGGGCTGGGTAAACTCTACAGAGTAAACCAGGTAAATTCCAACTACAGTCAAGGAGCACCAGGCTAGGCTCAGTGGCTCAGCCTGTAATCCCAGCACTTTGAGAAGCAGAGGCTACAGGATTGCCTGAGCCCAAGGGTTCAAGACCAGCCTGGGCAACTTGACGAGACCTCCTCTCTACAATAAATCAAAATTTTAAAAAATTAGCTGGGCGTGGTGGCGTGCATCAGTAGTTCCAGCCACTTGGAAGGCTGAGGAGGAAAGATCGCGTGAGCCCAGCAGGTTGAGGCTGCGGTGGCCATGAGTGTGCCACTGTACTCCAACCTGGGTGACAGAGTGAGACTCCCACTCAAAAAACAAACAAACAAACAAAACAAAACAAAACAGAAAACAAAGAGCATCAATCACCACTCTTTCCTCTCACTCATAAGGTCCTAAGGAAAGGGAAACTCAGTCCTGGATTTGAATTCCAGCTTCAGACACGAGACAGCTCATGTTACCATCCACAATTCATGCAATCGTCAATGATCTCCACTCTCCAAGGGTTCCCTTCACAGGGGAAATTTCACAGCTGCCCAGAACCCAGGTGTGACTGGCGGTGCCTTTCAGGAGACTCAAGACTCGCCTGGGAAGCCCACCAGCACAGTGAGAGCTACAGATGTTCCCTGTATCCTGCCCTCCCATTTGGCTTGGAATCCCCATTGTTCGGTGATTTCTAAGGAGTTGCGTTGATGCAGCAGCCAGTCCAAGGACATCTTGAAAAGCAGCATGAACAAGATGCCATTTCCTCATATATTTGTTTTCCAAGTTTCTTGGAGAATTCCTTTAGGGATTTCTTGACCCACAATACCTATTGCATAGTAGATGCTCCATAAATGTTTATAAATAAATAAAAATAAGTGTTATCATTTATGGAGCTGCTATTATGTGCCAGGTACTGTACTCCAAGAAAATTCTATTTTGCTCTTTCATTCTAATTCCACAAGTAGGAGAATTTAATAGATAGGAGGACAGGCTTTGGAAGCATAGTTTGAACTAGGCTCCTTCCTTCATTCTAGCTGGGTGACCTCTGGAAAAGTATTTAAATTATCTGAGCACTTGTAAAATGGACATAATGTAGTATCTACCTACTAGGATTGCTATGAAGATTTATAAATGTAATCACATGGTCTTGTGTCTAGAACCAATAAGTGATGTTTAAAAAAATGAGAACTATGACCATGACAACCTAGGAGGTGAATGCTATCACACCCATATTATACACGAGAAACTCCTCTAAATAATGTTATCTGACAGCCTCTTCCAATGATAAGGAATTATCTTGTTTGTATCACAAGTGAATGAGGACTTTATCTAAAGCTTTGGAAATAACCAGGATTTGGGGAACATGTGGAGAAGAACATTCCAGATGGGCTCGGCCCTCACAGAAGCCCATAAGGGAGCTGGAGTAAGATGGTAAAAGATCAAAAGAAATACTAGGCACAATGTTTTCATCTCCTCCTACATAGAGTGCTTGGGTACAAGTCAGCCAGTGAATGTATTCCAAAGCTTATACAAGGTGTTATTTATTATACACCTAAGCTGAGAGCCAGAATAGGAAAATGCTTAAGAAAAAGTGCTCTGGAGTTGGTCTGCCTGGGTTTGAATTCCTACCAGCCATGTGTAAGCTGTGTGACTGTAGGAAAGTCTTTCAACTTCTCTGAGCTGTAGGTTCCACATTTGCAAAATAAGAATAAGAATCTAAGACTTTGGGAGGCTGAGGTGAGTGGATTGCCTGAGCCCGCGGGTTTGAGACCCTCTGAGCAACTTGGCAAGCCCTCATCTCTACAATAAATCAAAAAATCAGCCGGGCGTGGTAGCGCGTGCCTGTAGTTCCAGCTACTTGGAAGGCTGAGGCGGAAGGATTGCTGGAGCCCAGCAGGTTGAGGCTGCGGTGGCCGGGAGCGGCCACTGCACTCCAGTCTGGACGACAGAGTGAGACTCCAATTCAAAAAAAAAAAAAAAGAATAGCTTCTTCTCAGGGTTGCTTTGAGAATTACACAAGTTAGCATACACGAAGGCTTTGCCATGCCTGCACCTTGCAACATGGTAATTTGTATTGTCATTGTTGCCGTTTTTATGTACTTTATATAGATAGACCAAGATTTGGGTGGATTAAACAATAGGCCAAATCACTCAACTGTGAGCAACTGGTGGAGATAGGATTCTAAAACCCAGTCCCCTTGTGTAAGTCAGAAAAGTTTCAGTTATGTTAAGTAACAAACAATCCCCCAAATTCAGAAGTGTGACACCACAGGAGTTGATTCCGTCCTCACACAAAACCCATCACAGTTTTGGACAACTATCCATGCATTTGCTTAACATTCCAGATGGTTTCGCTCTATCAACCCAAGTGCCTGGGACCCCAGTGGCAAGCAAAGAGTTGGAAAGTTGTACAGCAGTCATTAGACACGACCCCCCAGAGGGGACTTGTGTTACTTCTGTTCACATTTCATCAGCCAAAACAAGTTACATGGCCTCACTTACCTCAAGAAAAGGAATTACAATCCTGTGTGCATAAAAGTTCAGAAAAGCAGGTTATCTGTAAACCCCAAATTCAGTCTTGTAGCTACGGCACAGTTCTGCTTCTCTCTATGACAGGGCCATGCACTGTCCAACTTTCCAACAGGTAGTTTCAACAGTTCTTAATTAAGTTCAGTGAAAAGCATCAGGGTTTTGTGTTTGTTTTTATTTTTATTTTTTGACTCAGAGTCTCACTCACCATAGCCTCAACTTCCTGGGCTCAGATGATCCTTCCACATCAGCCTCCTGAGTAGCTGAGACTACAGGCACGCGCCACCACACCCAGCTAATTTTTTGATTTTTTTTTTTGTAGAGATGAGGTCTCACTATGTTGCCTAGGTTGGTCTCGAACTCCTGGGCTCAAGCAATCCTCCCGTCTTGACCTCCCAAAGGGCTGGGATTACAGGAATGAACCACCCTGCCTGGCCAGCATCAGAATTTTAAATGAATGAATGAATTAGTGACTATTTCCAGTTTCCAGCCTAACCTTGTCCCGCCCTGCCCATCAGCAGCACTCTGTGGCGGGTGGCTGTCCTCCAGTGAGTGTCCCAGTCAGCACTGCTGAGCCCAGAGCCGCCCATCCCTGCATCCAGGGGCTCTCCTCTTCCCCATCCATCACCAGGGCCCAGCGATCTCGCCTGTCGATGCCTGGCTCTCACTTGATGTCTCAGTTCCGGAACAGAGATGCTCCAGCTGCTACCTGGGAAGGCTCTGGCCCCAAAAATATTTAGTTAGCAGCCATTCAGTTAAGTGGAATTGACTTTTTATCGGCTTTCCTCTGTACGGCTGCCACCAGCGAAGGCTGTTTCCTTCTTCCCTCTTCTCTGCCTGTCAGTTTCCTCCACATTCCTATCGGCAGCCTTTAGCTCTGATCAATACTAACCGCTGTGTAACAGCTCACGCACGGCTGCTCTGGTTTGCATCGATCAGACCCTTCTTCCAACAGGTAGTCAGCTATTTGAGGCAATGACTTGAGATAAACACCTACTTTTACTTCAGGCTAATTCATTTCAGGTGGATTTCAAGGAGGCTCCGCACCCCGTCTCTCAGACAAGCTGAAATCAGAAAGTCAAGATCAACGCCTCGCATGCTTGAGATCCTAGGAGACCTTTTTCCTCTCCCCTTTTTTTCCCTTTCCCTTGCATTTTGTAAGTGCCACTTATAAACAAGATACCAGGACTTGGGACATTGAAAATGGCACTTCAGAAAATATGTCGGCCGTCTATCCTTCTTTCCTTTTAATGAGATGCATCCGGGACTTCAGGAAACCAAGGCTGTGGCGGAGGTAGCATTGTCGCTGGGCAACCAAGCATCCTTCCAGCTGCCCCAGAACTAATCTCACAATGTCCTGCTACCCTGGTCCTCCCACCACCTCGGGGAGTCGTTCTAGAATTCACCCCCATCCTTGTTCCACTCTCATAAGTGACTTTACCAGGAGCTGGTATTGTGAAATGGGTTGCTATTTTGCAACTGGTTGTGGTGTGTGGGCGTGGAATGACTTATTAACATTAGTACTGTAACTGAAAGACACACAAAACTGGCTGAGTTACACCTTTTTTTTCCCAACACATACACTAAGTGTGACTGATTAGCACACCTGATACCATCATTCACTCGTTGTCTGGGTCCCAAACCTCCCGTCCTGTTTCTCTTTCTTCAGCCCTCCCACCTGGCCTTGACACACCCGGCACTTCAGTTCCCAAGTCCTGTTGAGACTTCCTTTGCAGTGCAATTCCACCATCCCTTGCCTCCCTCTGGGTTGCTATCTTTCAAGTCCTCTCACCTGATGCTTGGACTACTGCAGTATCCTCTAGCTGACTGCCTGGCTTCCAGTTGCTCCGTTTTCTTAACTCTGCCCTGCATATGGATGAATTTGCTGTGATTGCTTCTCTCTTCTCTGAAGTCCTCAGTGGCTTCCCATAGCCTGCCAGAATAGAGACCAGACTCCTCGGCCTATCATTCTGGTCTTTGTTCTCTCTCCAGACTGTCTCTCGCCATTCTCCAGCACAAACCCCACAATCTAGCTCATCAGGGTGACTCACAACTTCCTCTAATGAGTTTTCCAGCTCTGTGCCTAAAAACCAAATCCCACGCCCCACACCTCCTTTGAAATTGGTTCAAATCGTGGCTCCACTGCCTATTAGCTGTGTTACCTCAGTTGAGTTATCCAACTTCTTTCTGCCTCAATTTCTCATCTGTGAAATGGGGATAATAGTACCTACCCCATAAAGTGAATATAAGGTTTGAACAGATTAATGTATGTAAGGCATTCAGGATGGTACCTGTGTGTAGTAGATTTCATATCAGTGTTTGCTTTTATCATTATGGCTATTATTCCCTTCATTCCTCCAAGCCACAACTCAAAGCGGATTTCCTCCATGAATACTCTGCAAGTCACCCCAGAAAAAAATATGCCTTTCCTCTTCTGCACCCACAATCCTTGGTTTCTACTGATAATGTAGATAATAATTATAGCAAATAGTTACTAGGCTTTAGGTACATGCTCAGTGCTTTTATATGCATTATTGCTTTTATTTTTTATTTTTGAAGTCAAGAGTCTCACTCTGTTTCCCAGGCTGGAGGTCAGTGGCACGATACAGCTCACCACAGTCTCGACATCCTGGGTTCAGACAGTCCTTTCACCTCAGCCTCCTGCAGAGCTGGGACTATAGGTGCACACCACCATGCCCAGCTAAAATTTTTTTTTTAATTTTCAGAGAGTCAAGGTCTTGATATGTTGCCCAGGCTGGTCTCAAACTCCTGGACGCCAGCAATCCTCCTGGCTTGGCCTCCCAAAGTGCTGGAATTACAGGCATGAGTCACCGTGGCTGGTCCACATTACTGCTTTTAAATCTTTCCAGTAGCTCCTGATTTTCTCTACCTCCCCCGCTTCACCTTGCTGTCTTCCATAGGAGGTTGACCTGTATGCCCAGTGGCTTTCAGTTAGATTTGACCAATAAGGAACACTGTCAGGATATAGGCAGGATGAAGAAGTGAAGTCCAAGTTTTTGTTCCCCCAGTTCCATCCTGGCCCCATCACTCCAGAATGGCCTCATCTCTCAAACACAAGGTCACGGCTCCTGTCCAGCACCCCTCTTTAACTTTGCTGCTCTGTCCACAGCTTCTGGTCACCTGGCCTCTCCTTGCCTCTTCACCCATGGGCGGTGTCATGGCCTAAGGGTACTATGCTCTCCCTTGTGGTTCCTCAAACCCTGACCACACCTTTGTGATACAATAGTCCCTATATAAACTCTCCCTAAGGTGTTCCAATAGCAGCGTGTCACCCTGGCTGGCACAGTTCTCATTACAACCCTACAAAGTGAGTGCTGTGATTGTTATCATGGTTACCAAAGGTGCCCGTGATCATACCAAGCAAGTGGTGGCACCCCCTGGCACCAAAGCCCACACTCTGAATCACTCTGTTCTGGTCTGAACATTGAAACCCAATCCCTGATGGGATGGCATTAGGTGTTGGGGACTTTGGGAGGTGATTAGGTTACACGGTTGGAACCTTCATGAGTGGAATTTGTGTCCTTATAAAAGAAACCCAGAGAACTAGCTCACCCCTGCCACCAGATGAGGATGCAGCAAGGAGGCACCATCTGTGAACCAAAAAGCAGTCCCTCACCAGACACCAAACCTGCTGACACCAGAGCCCTGATTTTTGGACTTCCCATCCTCCAGGTCCGTGAAAAATGAATTTCTGTTTAGAAGCTCCCCAGTAGCCAGGCTCGGTGGCTCAGCCTGTAATCCCGCGCTTTGGGAGGCTGAGGTGAGTGGATTGCTTGAGCCCTTGGGTTCGTGACCCGTCTGGGCAGCTTGGCAAGATCTCATCTCTACAATAAGTTTAAAAATTAGCCGGGCGTGGTAGCACACACCTGTAGTTCCAGCTACTTGAAGGCTGAGCGGAAGGATCGCTGGAGTCCAGCAGGTCGAGACTGCGGTGACTGGGAGCGGCCACTGCATTCCAGTCTGGGTGACAGAGTGAGACTCCAACTCAAAAAAAAAAAAAAAGCTCCCCAGTTTAGGCCGGGCAAGGTGGCTCAAGCCTATAATCCCAGCACTTCGGGAGGCCGAGGCGAGAGGATTGCCTGAGTCCATGGGTTCGAGACCAGCCTGGGCAATATGGTGAGACCTCATCTCTACAATAAATCAAAAAATTAGCTGGATGTGGTAGCGCGCCTGTAGTTCCAGCTACTTGGAAGGCTGAGGTGTAAGGATCACCTGAGCCCAGGATGTCAAGGCTGCAGTGGCCAGGAGTGTGTCACTGCACTCCAGCCTGGGCGACAGAGTGAGACTCCAACTCAAATAAATAAATAAATAAAAGTTCCCCACTTTATGGTATTTTGTTATGGCAGTACAAACAGACCAAGATACTATTATATTAGCTCTCCTATGTTAAGTTGTAAGGTGGCTGTTTCTACATGGATTTTCCTACCTCTGAGTCAGAATGTATTAGTTGGGTTTTGGGGTTTTTTCTTACTACATGTCTTAGTCTATTCAGGCTGCTTTTTAAAAAATACCATAAACAAGGTAGCTCAAAACAGAAATTTATTTCTCACAGTTTTAGAGACTAAGAAGTCCAAGATCAAGGCACTAGCGAATTCGGTGTCTAGTGAGGGCCTGTTCCTCATAAATGGCACATTCTCGGTGTGTCCTCACATGGCAGAAGGGACAAAGCTCCCTCGTGAGGGCTTTACCCTTGGACCTAATCCCAAAGGCCCCACCTCTTAATATCACCAAATTGGGGATTAAGTTTCAACATGTGAATTTTGCAGGTACAGGAACACTCAGACCATAGCACCACATTTTTAAAACACCCCACCCATAGAGGCTTAAAACAACAATCACTAATTAGCTCACCCTTCTAGGGATTGGCAACTTGGGTTGGGCTTAGCTAGAGGTTCTTCTGCTGCTCTCACCTGACCTTGCATATGTGGCTACAGTCAGATGGAGGATTGTCTAAGGCCTGGTGGTCCTGGATGGTGTCACTTATGTGTCTGGAAGCTGTTGGGGATCCACAAGGGTGACCAGGCCACATGTCTCCAGTATCTAGCTTGCTAGGCTAGACTTCTTCATGTGGTGGCGGGATTCCAAAAATAGCAAAACACAGAAAGCCCCAGCGTGCAAGCACTGTTTGCATCAAGTTTTCTAATATCTCACGAGTATAACCCAGATTCAAGGGCTGGTGACGTTGACCCCACCTCTTGGTGGGAGGAGCTGCAAAATACAGCAGCCATTTTTCATTTTTTCAGCCTACCACATGGGACACTCCTTTCCGGAAAGATCTATGCCTTGACAACTTCACATCCTGTGTCCTCATAACCTAAGTCAAGAAAGCAATGTGGGCCGGCCCTGTGTTTTCAAGGGCAGGGAGTGTCCTCTTTATAGCTTGGTGAACATCTGACACTCTTCCTGCCTGTTACCAGCAGACTGAAAATAATTCTGAAAGGGAAGTCTCTTAAAACTTTGCATGAGGGAGTGGAATTTTTTTTTAATTAGGCTTCAGCAGAATTTGTAAAAGAATCTTTCTTTTCTTCAGTTGCCTCTCCCTTGTTATAAATTTTAACTCCACCCAGTGGGATACCACAGCCAGCCTGGCCTCTCCTTCCTTCTCCCCTACACCACTGTCTGCTTGGCAGCAATGCTCAGCTCCTGTGGCCACAGAAGCGAAGGGAGAAGTCTTGCTTCCTGCTTTCTCTACCCCACTCCTCCTGGAGCTCTCCCTTGTCTGCTCACTCCCGCATTGTACCCCTCTGG